AGCCCCCTAGAGCCCCTACATAGTACCCTAACTTTCCTACCATTGGTTGCCCTAAGGATGTTGTAAACTTCTGATTGGTCTGGAATGTTATATATGTCCCTGCACTTGAACAATAAAACTCAGATCCGCATCTTGAACCGATCTCCAGAGTCCCGCATTCTTCGTTAGGACTCCGTCAGCCTCACCCCCACGGGACCCCCTGCCTCATCTATTGAGATTTTTAGATTCTTCCTGATTGAGTTTTGGAATGTTGTATTTTTCTAGGACTATGTCCATTTCCTCCAGGTTGTCTATGTCACTGACTTTTAGAGAGAGGGTAAAGGAGAGAGAGAGAGAGAGAGAGAGAGAGAGAGAGAAACATCTATGTGAGAGAGAAACGTCAATCAGTTACCTCCCATACCAGGGAACAAACCTGCAACCTAGGTATATGCTCTGATCAAGGTTCAAACACGATCTTTAGCTGTACAGGATGACACTCTAACCAACTGAGCCACACAAAGCAGGGATGTGTTTTAAGTTTTTTTAAAGTGCAATATCTGTGTCTCTATTTCTTTTTGTGATTTCATGTGTGTTGTATATGCATCTTCATTATTTCCAGCATGATTTATTTAAAATATTTCATATTTACATTGAATTGTCTTTCTTCCTTTGTTAAAGATCAGTTCAGTATATTTTTTGGGTCTATTGGAAAACAATTAACTTGTGTATCCTTAATCCTTACTATACTCACATTAATTTCAGGAATTATCTCTGTTGTTGTGGGCTCTTTCACATACACACTCGTGTCATAAGGAACAAATGTGATGAGTTTAGCTACATGTCTTGAACATGTTCTTTCTCAGGAAGTGGAAGTTTCCCTCTATTGCTAGTTTGTTATCATAAGTGGGATGTTCAATTTTATCAAATCCTTTATTTATTATCTCCCCCTCCTTACTTTCTAATATTAGTAATTTCTGTCTTCCCTTTTTTCTTAACTATATTATCTAGATGTTTACCAATATTATTCATCTTGTCAATAAAGCAACTTTTAAATTTTTTTCTTCCATTGATTTTCCACAGTCATATTGACTTCTTTTATAATTTTTACTAGAGGCTCCATGCACAAAAATTTGTGCATCGTGAGGGAGGGGGCTCCCTCAACCCGGCCTGTGCCCTCTCGCAGTCTGGGACCCCTCGGGAGATAATGACCTGCTGGCTTAGGCCTGCTCCCGGGTGGCAGAGGGCAGGCCCAATCCCTAGGTGCAGCCCCTGGTCGGGCTCAGAGCAGGGCCGATTGGGGAGTTGGGGCGCTGTCC